TCCTAATCTTTCAGTAGTGGCAGTGCAACTTGAACTGAATCTACAGAGAGTAAGAAAGTAAAAGGCTGAAAGTGAATGGAAAAGATGATAAACTTTTTCCCTCAGCCACACAGTACCTTTTCTCCTCCCCAAACCCCACACAAAATAAAAAAACAAAAACCACTGCACAAAGAACAAATAAGGAACGGTGGTCAGTAACTACTAAAGGCATGTTTCCCCATACAAGAATCTACTTCCATTTTTCAAAATCAGCTGATTTAACTATTCCAAACTCAACACATGAGGCCAGCCCCTTCTACTCAACTCTTCCCAAAACTTACGGCTGAAGCAGAATATGATTCAATAGCCTTACATATAAAAATATTTTGCACTTAGAAAAACTGGTACTGACTTCAGATCTGTTAACTGCCAGTAATATAAGAAACATATGATCACTTACAGCTCAGATCTGTTAACTGCTAGTAATATAAGGAACATATATGATCACTTATAGCTAGTATTTTATCTTTTACAATGCATTTTCCTCACAATAAATCTGGGAAGTAGATGAGAATAGTAATATTTGCAGTATTTTACAGATAAGGAAACTGAGTTTCAAAAAAGACTTGACCAAGATCACATAACTAGAAAATATTTTCAACAGTAAAAAGTTTCATAAGTTTAACCAAAAAAAATTTTTAAACCTTATTTCTGAAAATATTTATTTATTCATTTACCAAAAACACAGAAACAAAAAAATCAGTTACAGATAATTTTGCTGAACAGAAAGCGAGATTTTTAAGCAACGATAAAGCAAGCACTCCCTTTTTTTCTTTTTCTTTTTTTTTTTTTTGCTTTTTGGTGAGGCAGTCGGGGTTAGGTGACTTGCCCAGGATCACACAGCTAGTAAGTGTCAAGTATCTGAAGCTGGATTTGAACTCAGGTCCTCTTGACTCCAAGGCTAGAACTCTATACACTTGCACCACCCTTTTTTCTTTCTAAAGCTTGTTAGATATTTGCACATTTGCTCTACCCTTTAAGTAAAGGATTTTACCACTTTTATGGTTGTCTAAGGAGAAAACTTAAGTTTTACTCAGTATGTATCTTAGTCTTTGATGCATTTAACAAAATACTACCTCCAAGAAGATCTTTGAAAGATGGCATCCTCAAGAAGAAACTATCCAATGAAAAAATAAAATGGGGCCAGCTAGGTGGCACAGTGGATAGAGCTCTGGCCTTGGAGTCAGGAGGACCTGATCCTGCCTCAGACACTTGACACTTACTAGCTGTGTGACCCTGGGCAAGTCACTTAGCCTCACCCCCCCAAAAAAAAAGAAAAAGAAAGAAAAGGAAAAAAAGAAAAAAGAAAATGAAGCCAAATCCTAAATTATTGGCATAGTTAGGCTAGGAATTAGAGAGCTGCTAAATCACTTAACTTTACGCAGCTAGGTGGCCCAGTGGATAGAGCACCGGCCCTGAAGTCAGGAAGACCTGAGTTCAAATGTGGCCTCAGACCAAACACTTGACACTAGCTGTGTGACCCTGGGCAAGTCACTTAACCCCAACTGCCTAAAATAAATAAATAAATGAATGAATTACTTAACTTTAGACAAAGTACTTTGAGGAAGTACTTTCTGTCAATCAATTGAACAAGTATTTATTAAACACCTTTTACATGCCAGGCACTAGAGACATAAAGACAAAACCGAAATAGTTCCTCCAGCCAAGGAGCTGACATTCTATCGGAAGGAAAGAATATGTACACATTAAATAAATATGAAATATAAATAAATATGAAATTTACAAAGTAAATATAAAATAAATTTTTATTTTAAAGGGAGGAGGGATTGAAAGTGGATATCAGGAAGGACCTCATTCAGGATGTGGCACCTGAGCTGAGACTTGAGGGAAGGGCTAAAAGCTCCAAGAGACAGAGGTTAAGTAGGTGAACAACTTAGGCATGGAAGACAACTTGTGCCAAGGAGACAGAATGTCAGGTATGAGGAACACTGTATGAGGCTACTTTGGCTCTAATGTAGAACCCCTGAGGGGAAATCATCAACTCCAACCTTTGAGAAGCCTAGGGACACAGAGGTGGAAATGTTCAGCAGTTAGTTGGAGATGAGGGACTAATGCTCAAGGGAAAGATTATATAGATTTGGAAGTCATGTGATTGAAATTGAGTATGTGGGAACTGATAAGATCACAAAGGGAAGGAATGTAGAGAAAGAAAAAAAGGAGGTCCAGTAGCAAGTCCTGGAGTATACCCACACACAGTAGGCAGACTATGTATGTTGATTCATCAGAGCTGACTGAGAAAGAGTGGCCAGACTTCTAGGAAAAGAGACAAGAAAGAACAGTGTCAGGAAGCTTCTAGTCATAAAGTCCCAGGAATGAGAGTACTCAGGGAAAAAGAGGTGGTCAAAATTGCCAAATGCTACAGAAAGGTGAAGAAGAGTAAAACTAAGAAAAGTAAGTAGATTTAACATTATAGATCCCTCAATTTGCCTTCTCCTCCTTCCATGCATTTACCTAGGTCATTTTTCATTTCTAGTATACATACCTTCCCCATCTCTACCTTTCAGAGTTTTCTTCCTTAAAGGTTCAGTTCAGGTGCTATCCATACTACCTTCCTTGTTCTTCTGGCTTACAAATAGTTTTCTATTCCTCCTCCAGTAATGCTAGAGTACTTTACCTGCATCTTTCTTTGCCCTCAATAATTCCCTACCTTGAACTATATTTATCTGTATTTATGCCATATCCCATTCCCCTCAGAATGTAGACTCCCTGAGGGGAGGAACAGTGTCATTTTTATCTCTGTATTTCTGTGCTTTGCACAAAGCAGGTGCTTAATAACTGTTGTTGAAGTGTTAATATTTTTTAAAATTAACTTTTTTGGAAACTGTATTATACAAGTCACAGCCTTCTTAAACAAAGCACATGGAAAATAATTTAATTTAATCTTTACAACTCAGGATCATAGTTATAAACAATTATTGTATTCTACAATAATAAATAGTGATGTTCTCAGTACCATAGGGCTATCTTGCATGTTCCAGTATAGTTTTCCTTCCAATGCTTGCCCCTAGGCATGAAGTCCACCTTTCCCCCTCTAATTTGCTACGAGCTGAGAAACCAAAATAGCAGCATATTGAAACTGTGCCAAACAGAATAGCTGCTTTTGTGGTTGTTGTTCTTGGTCATTCAGTCTAAAAGAAGACATGACTGGTAAAGGAAGTAAATCTGAGGAGACGGATTTTGTCACATCATTTCGGTTGCCCGGGCCTTTTTTTTTCCTTCCTGGTATTCATCTATGTTTTAATAGCAGAGGTGTTACTGTTCTTAATGTAACTCTGAAATAAAACAAACAAAAACACTAATATGCTGTAATAGTGGTTATCTACAAAAAGAGGAAAGTCCCACAAATGTTTATGTAAAGCTGCATACCAGGGTCAGGGAGGCAGAACTGGTAAAATATTATCAGGAAAGTAAAATAACAAAAGCCACTTTGAATCCAAAAGTACACTTACAGCAATGACAATCATATGAACCAGCAAGTAAGTACATGCTACAAACTGCTTAAAGAGAACTACCAGGGCTGATAAATACATATGCTACAGGATGGTAATTTATATGCCCAGTTTAATTATGTTCCCATGGTTGGAAAAGAGGCAGCTACATTTGTTCTAATATTTGCTGATTTTATATAAATAAGGATTATAAGGCATATGTAATCACATATGCTTTGATAATACGTAATGATGAAGTGTTTAATTTCATAAGCAATGTATACCCTAGGCAAAAATTTGGCCTAGGTAGTGGCAGGGCTAGAGACAATTTAAAAGAATACATTAGGCCATAAAACATAATTGCAATACTGAGACTCCCCAGAGAACTATGGATAATGATATCCAGATTTAAAATTTATTAGGCATTTTCTAGTATGGACCAGAATGATACATCATATTTTTACTCCTGGTTTGACAGTAACTGCATTACACTGTATGGGCCTCACCATGAGAGGTTAAAGACCTGTTTTCAGGAAGATGAAGACTACACAGAATGGTGTCTCTGTTAATACTTGCAAAACCTTGTTTCTAAGAAACTCAAAGTGCATTCATCACATGGCTCACCACTGCTCAGTCACCATCTTCCCTTCTTCAACTTCCCCTCCCCAAGCCATTAATTACATCTTGATGAGATGACAAGCAGAGGGAAAATGACTACTTCTCTTTGGACCAACCTGTGTTTTCTTCCAACTTTCTCTATGAACCACTTTTCCTTTTCCAACTTGTCTATTTTAAGTTACAGTAACCAATGGCCTTGGCGGGAAGGGTAGAGGAGCGAGAAGAGGGAAGGGAAGCTTTAAACATGCCCCCAAAACTTCATTCTGTTGGGAGAGGTTTTCCACCACCTCTCCCATCCCTGAATGTGGGAAGCTATCTCCCAATCTTCTCTCTTTTTTTGCTATATAGAGTTTGAATGGAGCATTCTTGGGCTACATCAAACTCTCTTAATCCGGACAAGTGTGGTTCAAGCCCAGGGCTCCTAACATAGGTATACACTAGTGCCCATGAGTGGGTCCTCACACTATGTGTGCGCACACATACACACACCTAGATACACACTGAAGGTGGGTGTACACTACTGCACATAAGTGTATCCTTACACTACTATGTGTGTACACACATATCCCATATTCATACCCATACCACCCCACGCACACCCCTTTCCTGCTTTCCTTCCCCTCTTGAGGGGATCGCACCGCTCACACCCTCCTCCCAGGCCAGGGGCAGACGAGGATGGACGACCCTCCCCACCTCCCCCACTTCCCTGCCCCCCATTCCTTCTCCCCCTCCCCCTCCCCCTCCCCCTCCGCGCCAGCGCCTCTCCCCCTTCATTTTTCTTCACTCCTTAATCGCCTCTCCACCACCTTTTTCCAAGTCACGCGCAGCTTCTCCTCGCCCAGAACCTTCTCCGGCAGCTGCCCTGGCCCGGGCCCCGGGGCCCTCACAACTCACCGGGAGACTTCGCCGCCAGTCCCCTAACAATCCTCCTCAACCCGGACTTGGCCAAATATAAGAACCAGGGTTGGGTCCCTCTGACGCATGCGTACTGAAAATCCTTCACATTTCCCCCCGACCCTACCCCCAGCAGGCGCCTGCGCACTTCTCCAAATACGGCTCCTCCTCCCAGGACACGCCCCTGGAGCTACAGCCAATTAGCGTACAGGAGGGGAAGGTTTAAACCTAGCCACGCAGAAAAAGAACTAGTTCCCGAGCTGGTTGACCAGTTGGTTATGGGTTGTTGTGGGAGCTGTGTGATGCTACGTTAAAGTTGTTTTTCTAATGTTACTGTAGTTCTGTTTCTTTTTTTCCCCTGTGTTTTGTGAAACCAGATGTAGGTGCAAACTGAGATCTAAAAACAACACAAATTCAGGTTTGGTAACAATTCAACAAGCATTTATTTGGTCTGTCAGACTTTGTACTGAGGTTACAAAGATAAAACAAAACAAAACAAAAAAAAAATTCAGTCCCTGCCCTTAAGGAAACTGCGTTGCAGTTTGTACACAGAATTGTAAAATGAGGTGGCCTTGAATTAGATAACCTCTAGGGACCCTTCTAGCTGTAAATCAATGCTCCTATGAGCCTAAGTTAATACAATATGAATTATACTATATGTTGTAATAATATATATGTGATACAACATAATATATAACAAGTGATGTAATTAATAACATAATAGAATATGCAAAGTAATTTCCACAATTTTCCACTCTGCCCTGGAGTACTTATCACTTTACACTTGGGCTATTGCCTTCTGGTCGGTCTCCCTGACTCAAGTCTCTCCAGCCTTACTGCTTACCAAAGCTAACCTCTCTGCTTGTTTAAGTGCTCCCATGCCATCCTCTCTCCTTCATCAGACTGCCCCTCTGTCATTCCCACTCTCTCACTTATTTTCAATCTCTCTCTCTCTCTACTGGCTCTTTGCTGCCCTCATCCTGAAAAAAAAAAACTCTCACTAGGGGAATAGTATACACACTCAGTTGGGTATAGAAATCTATCTTATTCTACAGAGAAATAAGAGGGAAGGATATAAGACAAGGGAGGGGGAGTGCTAATAGAAGAGAGGGTGGATTGGGGGAAGCAGTGGTCAGAAGCAAAACACTTTTGAGGATGGATAAGGTGAAAGGAGAAAGAGAGAGAAAGATAAACAGGGAGAAAATAGAATGGAGGGAAATAGTAATCATAACCGTGAAAGAATTTTTATAGCAACTTTCTCTGATAAAGACCTCATTTCTCAAATATGTAGAGAACTGAGTCAAATTTATAATACAAATAATTCCCCAATTGATAAATGACCAAAGGATATGAACAGGCAGTTTTCAAAAGAAGAAAACAAAGCTATTTGTATTCACACCAAAAAATACTCCAAATCACTATTGATTAGAAAAATGCAAATTAAAGCAACTCTGAAGTCCTACCTCACACCTATCAAATTGACTAATAAGACAGAAAAGGAAAATGACAGATGTTGGATGGGATGTGGGAAAATTGGGACACTAAATAGCACTGTTGGTGGAGTTGTGAACTGATCCAACCATTGTGGAGAACAATTTGAAACTAGGCACAAAGGGCTATAAAACAGCATACCTTTGACCCAGCTACTTCTACTAGGTCTGTATCCCAAAGATATTAACAGAAAAAATGTAGCATTTTTTTGTTTTATTTTAAATCAACTTTCATTTTCCTCCTGGCTGTGATTCTGACTTACTGGACTTAAAACCATGTCCAGACTGCAACCTCACCTTGGATCCTTCTTCAGTAACTCAGCTTCTTTGCCCTAGAACACTCCTCCACCATACCAGTCCCCTTCTGAAATGAGTTCCTCCTCCTTCCTCCATTTTGGGAGGAGTCTAGAGCAAATAATCTTCAGTTCCCTACCAGCTATGTTCCTACTTTCTAGATTGAATATGGGGGGGGCATGTACATGAGTGTGCATGTGTAATATGTATATATATATATGTATTTCTTTGACTAGGTAAAAGAGGCCATTCTTTGCCTCACCTCTTAATCACTGAATGGGCATTGCCTCAGTCAAACTGTGACCTGGGAAAGACTTTAGCTTAAAAAGGCAATTTTTTGGTGACTCTGCACAGCCCTCCCTCACTTAGATCCAATTCACCTGCAAGTCATGATATCACCTTCCTGATGTCAATATCCTCTTCAAAAATAAAGGACAGAGGTAGCTTAGCTAAGTGGCACAGTGGATACAGCATCAGCCCTGGAGTCAGGAGGATCTGAGTTCAAATAGGGCTTCAGACACATAACACTTACTAGCTGAGTGACCCTGGGCAAGTCACTTAACACCATTTGCAGGCAGACTTCAGAAAAACTTGGAAAAGACTTGTACGATCTGATGCTGAGTGGAGTGAGCAGAACCAGGAGAATGTTGTACACAGCAACAGCCATGCTGTGCAATGACTAATATTGATATGTTGTGGTCTGAGAGGTTGTGACCCCTCAAAGACTGGAGTACTCGATGGGTTGTCTGGAATGAATTCACAGACTCAAGCAATCTTTAACTCAAGTTACAAAAAGTTTATTGTTACACTTTTCAGCAGGCAAGGATTCTTAAGGATCCTGCAGTCTTACAGTGGTACAGTTAAAGTTTGTATAGGATAAAATACAATAAAACATGTGCCAAATATGCTAACAAGGTGATTCAGGATGGGATTAAGGAGTGGTTAAGGAGTGGTCAGTTCTTAAAAGAACATGTACTTCTTATACCTACTGCACAGGCATTTTACCCAGAGTTCGCTAGGAAAAGCTCACAAGGGGGGCCACATGGAGGTATGGTTTTAGACCTGCTACATCACTAAGTTAACTAGAGTTCAGGGGTAACTGAGAGTTGTCCAGTCTGCCACCAATCAATATCTTGTTTGACAAGATAGATGTAGGGAGAATACATATGTCTTAAGTCTAGAACACAGTTAATGAGGAGCCTAGGATGTAAATAATGAGGTAGGGAGGTAGTATAGATAGTCTAGTGGGTAAGAATGTTTTTATGACCCAGTGCAAAGCCAGTTTGAACTAATAATTCCTTCAGGTGCTGTTTGTAACTGCACCAGGGAAAGAGATAAAGGTTTTGCTGGGGCGCACTCATGAGTAATTGCTAAGCACAATGTCCTTGGGCTAGGGAGAAACTGTCAGGGATAGTGTTTCTGAGGCTAGGGAGAAATTGGGGTGCAAGCACAAGCATCCAAACACAAGCACCCAAGCACTCCATCAGATAGACTTACTGCTTCTCAGTAATACAAGGGTCTAAGACATCTCTAAAGGTCTCATGATGGAAAATGCCATTCACATCCAAAGAAAGAATTACGGAGTTTGAATGCATATCGAAGCATACTGCGTGCTATTTTTTTTCTTCTATTACGTTTTGTTTCCTCTTTCTGTTGGTTCCTCCTATTGGTTCTAATTCTTATTTACAACATCAGTAATGTGAAAATATGTTTAATAGAAATGGATATGTATAGCCTATGTCAGATTGCATGCCATCTTGGGGAGGGAGGGAGACAAAAATTTAAAACTCAAAAGCTTATGGAAGTGATTGTTAATAAATCAAAATAAATTAATAAAAACTCACCAAAAACAAAGGCAAAGAACAAAAATCCTACATCTTACAGGAAGCCTTCATCAAACCCCTTTAATTCTAGTACCTTCCCTCAACTGATTTATTTCCTATTTATTGTACATAGCTTGCTTTGTATATATTTATTTGCATGTTTTCTCCTCCATTATATTTTAAGCTCCTTTAGGGTAGGCACTGTCTTTTGCTGCTTTTTTGTATCCCCAGCTTTTAGCACAGTGCCTGGCATGTAGTAAGTGCTTAATAAATGTTTATTGAATTAAATTGGCTCTAATCCATCCTCCCCTGAAATGTCAAAGTGACTTTCCTAATATAGTACAAGTCTGACCATTTCAAACACAACACCCATTCAAAATAAATAAATAAACTCCAGTGACTCTCTATTACCTTAAAATAGAAAATCATACCTTTACCTTTCAAAGCCCTTAATAACATGATCCCTTTCTACCTTTCTAGTGTTTTTTGTTTGTTTGTTTGTTTTTGCTTTTTCGGCAATTGGGGTTAAGTGACTTGCCCAGGGTCACACAGCTAGTAAGTAGTAAGTATTAAGTGTTTGGTCTGAAGCCTGATGCACTTCACCACCTAAGCTGCCCCCTTTCTAGTGTTCTTATACTTTCCCTTCCATATACTATATGATCCAGCAACACTGACCACTGTCACTCAAACAGGTTGCTACACCTCTGGACTGGGTGCCTTTTTCATTGGCTGACTCCCCTATCCCTGTAATACCCTCCCTCCTTATCTTCTCCTCCCATTTTCCTTCAAATTTCAGCTCAAATTCCACCCTCTGAAGAGGCCTTTCTAGGTGTTCCCTACATACACACTTCTAGTACCTTCCCTATGAGATTATCTTCCATTCATTCTCTGCGCGTATATGTATATGTACATGTACATTATATATAATCTATATATTTTATCTTATATGTAGGTGTTTTAATGTTGTTTCCACTATTAGATGGTCAGCTCCTTGAAGGCAGGTACTAGAGCGTGATTCTGACTCCAAGATTAAGTAAAATGAGAGAGGTTTTATACAGTTTAGAGTGATCAGACTCAGGATGTCTGTGTTTACAAAAAAATACAGCCTCCATATGTTTCCTTAACATATAGCATGGGAAAGGAATTTTCTTCATTGAATAGGTTGTAAATACAATAAAATAGGAGAATGTCAAAGTGTCAATAGAAACTCAAGATAAGAAAAGTCCCATTATTCAAGAGAGTATCTGGCCCCAGACATCCTGGGCTTAGTGATAACAAACAGGAAGAATACTGATCAGTTCTATCTGGTCCTGGAATTTGCTGACACAGGAAGGGGTGTTTTTAGTTCACTCAGACAGAAAAAGGTTAGTTCAGGTTTTTGGCCCTTATTGGGGCTCAATTGATCTTAAATGATTATCACAGGTGACTTCTAAATGTTATCTTCTTTTTACTAGTAATTCCCCAGACCTTTCAGTCAATTCTCATAACGCATACACTGGAGGCTCTTCACCATAC